TAGGTTATCGCGTTGATGTCTCGGCTTTCGCTCGCTTATGCACTGGCTCTCGTACGCGTTGTAGGAGGACTGGTCAGCCCCATCAGATTCTAAGGGGAAAAGCTCCTGGAAGGCCCCTGTGGACTTTAGTTGCGCAGGCCTATCCCAAGGCGCTCGCGAGACGATGGGCTCGCGCGCTCGTCGGCGCCAAACTGCACTCCGAGGCGCTGTCAGTCACACCGCTCTGGCTAGGCAGCTAACATCAGAGGAGTAGCCTTCTGGATAGTTCGGGATGTTTTGGCCGTGGGGCCGGTCGCCAGAGCACTAATTCGGTTGATGAATTATCTCTCTTGCTGGCCCGAGTGTCGTTCACGGTGCTGCCTCTTGCTGTCTCACATACTCCGACCTGGCCTCGGAAACACCATCGTCGGGCATGGATTTGTCCATTGAAGATGAATGCCTTTAGAGAGGAAGGGAGAGGCCGAATGCAGAATGCGTTGTTCTTGTCAATAGCCTTCGGCTCTCGAGCTCCCGCCCTCCCGCACTGTTGCTGCTGCAAGGCTTCGCCGTGGCCGTGGGGCCGTTCGCCAGAGCACTAATTCGGTTGATGAATTATCTATCTTGCCGGCCCCAATGTCGTTCACGGTGCTGCCTCTTGCTGTCTAACATACTCCGACCTGGCCTCGGAAATACCATCGTCGGGCATGATAATGATTATGATGTTGACGATGAGCGTTGTGATGGGATGATTACGATTCTGATGATGCTGCTGATGACGGTGATGGTGATGGTGATGATGATGATGATGGTGGTAGTGGTGGGATGATGACGATGATGACGATGATGATGCTGACGATGATGACGGCGACGATGTTTTGCTTGTGATGATAGTGGCGGCGGTTCTGGTGGGCCGATGGCATCGGCGATGATGATGGTGATGGTGATTTTGACGATGCTGGTGGTGGTGGTCGGATGATGTTGATGATATCCTGACGATGCCGATGACGATGACATTGATGATGGTGATGATAATGCTGATAATGGTGATGACCACCATGACATGATGATGGTGATGGTGTCGTTGTTGTTGATGATGATGGTGGTGGTGACGACGACGACGACGATGATGATGACGAGGAGGACGACGACGACGGTGACAGCATCGGCGAAGAGAAGAATGATGATGCGACTGATGATGATAGTGATGATGACAACGGTGATGCTGATTACGATGATGATAATGACGATTTTGATGCTGATGATGATGAGGATCGGGATGATGATGACGATGATGATGGTGATGATGATGATGGTGACGACGACGATGATGATGTTGCTGATGGTGACTTTGGTGAAGGTAATGATGGTGATGATGGCGGTTGGATGATGGTGATGACGGTGACGACGATGATGAACATGGAGACGATGACGATGACCATGGTGGTGGTGGTGGTGGGGTGATGATGGCGACCACGATGGTGATGACGATGATGCCGGTGGTGATGACCATCATGATCATCATAAAGACACTGATGATGATGGTGGTGATGATGAGTGGACAGATGACGACGATGAGAATGGTGGTGGTGGGATGATGATGACGATATTGATGATGATGGTGGTGATGGCAAGGTTGTGATGCTCATGTTGATGATGCGGATGATGAAGATGATGCTGAGGACGATGCTGATGATGGTGATGAACGTGGTTGTGAAGGAATGGTGACGATGGCTGTGATGGTGGTGACGATGACGGCACTGATTTTGATGACGATAGTGATGATGATGCTGATGATGATGATGATGCTGATGATGGTGGTGGTGGGGTGATGATGACGATGATGATGATGATGATGATGGTGGTGGTGAAGGTGTCGGGACACTGATAAGGGTCATGATGCTGATGATGCTGACGATGGTGAAAATGATGGGGATAATGATCATGATGAGGATGATGATACTGATGATGATATTGGTGATGATCTTGGTGGTTGCGGTGGGCGGATGAGGATGCTGATATTGTTGATGATGATGATGATGATGTTGCTGCTGATGGTGATGATAATTATGATGATGATGATGAGGAAGAAGAGGAGGAAGAAAAGGTGGAGGTGGTGGAGGAGGAGGAGGACGACGAGGACGACCTCGACCGCAGCTCGGGGCGGCGACTGCCTTCGTTGTGAGGCTCCTGCCGAGGCGATGCCGCATATTCGAATCCTATAGGGAAATCACTGATTGTTGCCTACCCTTTTGGGCATTCTCTTGGGGCTCCTGGGGACGCCTTGGGACCTCTTGGACTGTCTTGATGCCATCACTTGTTACACCTTTCTGGCGTGTTCGAACCCTTCTTGGGCCGTCTTAGGGGGCACCTTGGGCATCTTTGAGGCCACGGGTGGTGGACTTGGAGGGCTTCAGAGGTGCGTGGATTTTGGTCCCTGAGGAGGTGGAAAGGGGCCAGCCAACCATCTCACACGCCTTCTCGCTCCCGGCAAACGGGGGGTGTCGGCCTGTCTTTATTTTCAGAGTTGTGCCACAGTTGCGATTCGGCACATGGACGCACAGGCAAATCTCCATGAAATGATCAACCGGTGACTGCGGCAAATCCCGCCACCTGAAAAGATGATTTTGAGTTGCGCATTCAAGCTTTCGTCGCTTCGCGTATTCGCACAAACCTCTCCTCCCGCCGCTCTCTTGTCGTCTTTCTTTTCCTTTCCCCTGCGTGCAATTTAGGCTCCTGCTTGTTAGCTGTAGCTTTGCACGGCGCGCGGCCCTTCCGTTTGCGCTCGCGATACCAAAAAACAAGTATCCGCACAAGCCTATCGAGGAAGACTGCCCAGCGAGTTGCATTGATCCGAGACGTGTAGGAGCATGCCGTGGAACAAAGAAGTCTTCGGAGAAACAGACGAGCGCCTAACGAAGTTGGATGGCGGCTCCAGGCTCTGGGGGTGGGCCCAGGGTCGGCTGAGCGGTCTGCAGGAAACGTCAGAAGGTTCCAATTGCTCTCCAGATCGCCCAAGCGGTTAGAAAGATCACCGACCAGGGCCCCAGAGGCTCCAACGTTCCCTCAAGACGGCAGACCCTCAAGACGACCCCCAGCAGATCAATATCAGCCACAAACCACAGTTTGTTTTTCGGCATTTTCGTGATTCGCAACTTCTCGGTCGAAGATTCTCCACGAGGGCGCCGGACACGTGGATGAGCGCCTGAAGAGACTCCACTGGGGTCCCTGGGGGCCCAAGATGGGGTTCGAGGGCCGCGGGCGTCGACCAGGGGCGGCCGCCATGTGCCCAGTTAGATGGCCCAGAAGGGCCCCGAGATGTCCCATGATGGCTCCCAGACTGCCCACGAGACAGGGCCTTCTTCGATCCGATAATCGATTTCTGCCGGACGGACTAGGTTCGCCTCCGATGTTCCGACGATGTGATGCGGCTTGGTGCTTGTGTGGCGCTGTGTGAAGTCCGCTCATATTACCCTGGCATCACCACATACCGCTAACGTATCGGCTCAAGTATTGGTGCACAGACCGCACTGCCCTCCGCGCAGCGCCATGGAACAGGAGAAGCGAGCCTCTTCCTCAATCGCCTCTGCCAACGGACAATTGTATAGGATCGGCTCATTGGTCGTATCCCTATACACACAGGCGCTCTTGTGCATCCCGGCGCAGCCGATCCTATTCGATTCCGACTCCGTGCCGATGCGGCCAGAACCGGCGCACTTTCCGATCCGATGTTGTTTCCCGATTCGATGGCGATTGATCTTGCCCCACGGGAGCCTACGAGGCCCTAGCGGTCTCCAAGACGGCCATCAGAAGGCCGCATTCGAGTTCAGAGGGACGGGGTGCAGGTTTCCCCCGTTCTACGTTTTTTCTTGGTCGGAGATGGCCCCACGAGAGGCCCCATAGGTGTCTCCAGGCCACCTTCCAGCCCTCCATTTGTTCCCTTCATCCTCGCTCCTCCTTCCTCCCTTTTCCCTCCTGTAGCCTTTCTCGCAGGAGTCGGAGGTTCGATCCCTTGATGTAATCCGTCCCGTTGCGCTGTCTTGCTCGCGCGTGCTCCAAGGATACATCTCAGTCATAACAGTGAGGTGAGAGGGCTCCCTCTCAGATTACCTGGAAACGCCGAAGCGCTGCTCCTTCCTGGCTGACTGTTCCCTCCTCCCTCTTCCCTCCTTCGTCCCTCCCTCCTCCCACTCTTCTTTGTGCAAGAGGCCCGGTTGCACTTGCGATCCTCGCCATGGATTCCCTTGGCTCTTTCCCCAGTTTTGTCGGCTTTGTCTTCTCCGAGTTCATTCGTTTCCTGGGGTGCGTTGGGCTCATTGCGTTGATTTGCACTGCATTGTATTGTCTTGCGTTGTTTTTCTCTGCGCTTGTGCTGCTTTGCGCTTCGCATGCAATTGATGTACATTGCTCTAGATCGCCTTGGTGTGCTCAAGTGTGTTTTGTTTTGCGTCTGATTTGCCTTTATTCCTTGTAATGGTTTGTTTTTCATTGCGTTGCATTGCCATTCAGCATCCGTTTTACCATTGCATCTGCTTTCCATGGCAGCGCTCTACATTCCAGACCGTTGCAACACGTTGCATTCCCTGCGCTCCGCACATTTCTTTAAGTTGACTTGCGTCCACTTGACTTTGCGTGCGTGTATCTTTGTCGACAACACGCCTCTGCTCAGTCCGCCTTCCTCAACTTCTTGTTCAAGCCATCCGTTGGCATGTGCATGCGTGCACCTGTCAGCTTGCCACGGGCTGGGACTTGCTAGAACCAGAGAGCGGGCGAAACGTGTGTGTGTGTGGTTATGACATGTAAGTGTATACGCATCATGTGCAAATATCAGCGGCCCGGAACACTGGGCAAAACGAGGTGTTTGTTGCCCATTCTAAAGAGAACCGCCAGTCGAGGGTCTTGCTCTCTTCCTGTGCTGACATCTGAGCCCTCGAGGATTTGTTCGGAGCCAGTCGATCGCTCGCGGAGTGGAGGCCCCCTCCAGTGGCTCGAGCACACGCCGCGCCCCCCCTGCCTGGGGGGCAATGCCGCTGCACTGCAGCGGTGGCCATGCGTTGCAGGAGATTGCGGCACCATACGATGGCGACTGCGACCTCTGCGGAGCACAGTTCGACGCCGCCTCGCCCGTCCTGCATTGCGCCTCCTGCCACTTCGACGCCTGCGGCGCCTGTGGGCGCCAGGCCGCCGTGGCCGAGGCACCCGCCGAGAGGCCGCCGGGCCCCTTCGAGGTGGAGGTGCGCGGCCTGAGCGGGGTGCTCTGCACCCTCACCGCGGGCCCGGAGTGGACCGGCCTCCGCCTCAAGGATCGGTGCGATCGAAAGGGCTCGGCAAAGGAGGGGGGCGAAGTCCTCGTGGGCGACAAGCGCAGCTGTATCCGCGGCCTCGCGGGCCCCGCATCTGGGCCGCGAGCCCGCGAGCCCTGGGCGCCTCTTCGCGGATGCCCCATCGGTTGTGGCGCATGTAGCGGGGCTCAGCGCTGACGGGGCTCAGCCAAGGTGCTTGATCTCGCAAAATCCTACAAAGCCGGATCTTGGCTGAGCCAGGTTTGGGAGCCGCTCGCGGCTCTGTAGGTGGCCTTAGGTATTGACCGAGCCTGGCTTGGGAAGCCCCGCAAGAAGTTGGGAAGCCGTTCTGGGAGAAAATTGACAGCCGGGTTTGCGCTGAGCAGGGTGAGCCCACGCCCGAATCAGTACGATCCAAATGGCTATGGAAATAGTGCGGACGAAGAGCCACACCAGTTCCTGCACATTCTGAGCAGGACTCGCTGCCAGCGTCGCCGCTGACTTCGTCCATCTGCGGCAGAAGGTCGCCTGCCCAACAGCAGCCGCAGCTGGTTGTTGGCCACATTTGCCTCTGGGAATCGTACCCACCTTTGTGAATCAGGGAGAATGGCATAGACGTCAGAGCTCCGCGCGGATTTCTTGCATCTGCGCTGCCCGCAGCCCGGGGGCGACGCCCCCGGCGTCGCCCCCGCCGCTGCCCCTGGCGCGCTCCACGCGCCAGGCAAGGGTGTCCAGCGCAGATCCAGGAAATACATGCGGAGCTCCGACAGTTTGTTTACGTGTATGCAGTCTTTTCTTCCCTTTCGCGTGAATGGCGAGCGTGCCAGAATCGTGAGCTGACAATCAGCACCCATGCTTCTGTGACCCCCCGATGCCTCGGGGTGGAGTTCCGGGGGGGGGACGGCTGTGTGTGTGTGCGTGTGTTGTCGGACGGTGGCCCCCTCTCGAACGGGAGCCCCCCTCGGGGTCCGACGAGTCGCACCCATAATTTCCAACAGCGCTCCATCACCTTGCCCTTTCCCGTTCCTCCTTCCTGTACGGCGGAGGCGCTCGTTGAGGAATGGGCCCAGGAGGCTTCGTACCCTGGGGGATTCCTTATCTGATGAGGGCGGCGGTGATATCCATGGCCGATCCACGATTGCAGTCCCACCAGCTTCTGGGCCCTGGATTCCTTCTCCACTGGCTCCTGGCCCATTGCCCTCACCCGATGGCCTTCGGGTCATCGCTCGGGCCTCTGGCGGCCGTCCGGGTCGATCCGGGCAGCCCCGGACGCCCCTCGGACCAACGACGACGTCGGAAAACCTCCAACCTAGACTCGCAGGGGATTTTTCGGCCCGGGCTCGGAGAAGGAGGGGGGCTCAAGGGTGTACCCCCCCCCGGGTGCTACTCGGACGCACCTGTATCGAGGATGCACGCCCCCCCCCCATCGCATATCCCAGGGTTGGGCCCAAAATTTTATGTTTTTTCGAAAACCTCCCAAAGATTGGGACATGGGTCGACAGATCCCTTGATCCAGGAGGGAAACACACACAGGCACAAATAAATTATGATTCCGATGCAAATATAGGAACTATGGGCAGTGGGGGGAAGCTGGCAACCCAGAAGACATGGAAAAATATGGGGGATCCTGGGATTCGTAGTTATTCGTGTGTGTGTATCCCTGGGCCCCTTGACTGTTATCGGTCATCAAACCTGAACGATAGGAGGCGCTCGGCGTCCAGCTCGGCCTCGGCCTGCTGGAGCAGCGCCTCCTCGCCGGCAGCGAGCCGCTGGCGGACGAGGTGGCACTCGCGCGGCAGCTGCCCGCGCCGCGCGAAGGCGGCCCGCGGGCCGTCACGCTCGTGCGCCGTGACCCCGCCATTGCGGAGGCTCGGCATCGTCTACGGTCGGGAACTCTGGTTCGGCGAATCGTGTCAGCATCGTTATATCGATCCCTAAGTATCCCCATCTCCATCCCCATGCTGATCCCCACCGTCCCACTACCCTGGTTGGGGATATGCCAGATGCCTGTCGAAGTCCGACGGGAACAGCCTACATCTCCATCCAGGGAAGCAGACATAACGACATTCACCAACAAAAAAACATGAGGTCCGCGCGGATTTCTTGGATCTGCGCTGGCATCCCCTGGCGCCGCCTCCGTTGCCGCCCAGGTCCAGCGAAGATCCGGGAATTCCAGGCGGACCTTCGACAGTTTATGGTTATATTGCTTTTTCGTCTAAACCGATCCCCAGCCCAGACATGATCGGAGGTTTCTGCTCGTTTTCGTCGGTTCTTGGATGTTTCCCTGCCTCGGGATGAGTTCCAGCAGGTGCGCGTCAGCGGGGGCGTTCGGAGGCTGCCAGGATCGTTGTGAACGGCCACCGGAGACCCGAGAACTGGACCGAAAGCCAATCATGTTCACGTCTTGATAAAAGTCACGACGGAAGGTTTTTGGCCGTTTTCGGTTTTTGGGAGCCCTCGCCGGGCCCTGGGACCGTCAAGCAACGACCCAGGATGGAAAACCAGCCCTGGGGAAGGGGTTGGGACCTCTGGGGGTTCCGTATTTCAATACAAGGCATCGCGTGTCTGGGACCGATCCCCATCCCCATCCCCATTGGTCCGTGGTATCCCAGCCCCACCAACCCACCCGTCCCGAGAAGCCCGGATGGATAATGAATACGTATAGAGCCTGCGCACGAATGATCTGAGATGCGAGAGTGCAGCTGCATCCTATGCTCAAGGTTTTTCTGGCAGGAATTTCTCTCGGATGAGTCTGCCCGCCCTTCCTTCCGTACAGTCTCTCCAGGCGGCCGCAATCCGTGGCCTCGAGCTGGCGGCTCTAAGCCAGGCGGTGCTCTCGGCGTTCCCGAGCTGCCCCTCCGTGCCGCTGGCCTGCCTGCCCGCGAACTGTACCTGTCCTGTGGCGTGCTGCCCGGTGTGCCAGGCACCCCTCCTCAACGTCACGTGCCCTCCGACGGAGGGCGTCAGCGGCTCCGCGTCGGGGCAGATCGGCCTCCTATCTGATCGGGGGGTTGCGGGATCGGCTGCTGACGCGGGGCTGGCGGGGGCGACTATCCGCAGTCATGCCGACCGAGCCGTGTCAGGGTGTCTGCAGGACCGTGTTCGTGAACAGGTAGCGCTGCTGAAAATTCGCAGCGGCCAGACCATGTGAGTACATCTTCAGACGGTACGGTATCCCTGGGCCGACGCTGTTCCACGAGAGGCTCGTGAAAAGGGCCTCCGTGGCGAATCCACGTCTCGCCTTTATGCTGACGGCGGACGCAGACCAGTACGCTGAGGACACCCGTTCCGATGACGCGGCAGAGGTGCGCTGGTGTGGGGCTGAGGGCGCCACGCCCGTTGGAGTGGACGCGAACCAGGTTCACCGCTGCCGACAGTTGCCCTCCGCCGCCGAGTTGGAGCAGCTCAAGCGGGCTCCAGACAGCTGCCCTTCACCGCTTCCGATGTTTGCCCTTCACCGCTTCCGGCAGCAGCTGCCCGCCGCCGGAAGACGCGCTCATGGTCGGGGGTCCTCCTCCAGGCGGAGCTTGAGCTGCTGGCGGCTCTGTCGTGCCCGCCGCAGCTGGCGTGCCCGCGGCTCCCGCTCATCGAAAGCCTGGCGAGGCTGGGGTTGTCCTGCGCGCGGGCGCGCAGGTGCCACAGCCCGTGGGCGCGGCCTCCGTCTGGCTCGCCACAGAGGACCATCGTGGGGGGCGAGCACCTTCCTGATCCTCTACCTCAAGGGGCGGCGGTGGAGTCCGATGCCGCGCTGGTCATTCAAGATGCACGAGCGCCATTTGCGACATGTCGAACACCACAACCATGTTCCACTGTTGTTTGCGAATTCTCAAAATACACCAGCAATCCTCCGATGCGATCTTCGAGGAATCAGAATTTCCCATGGAGGTGCTCTCCGACCATCTTCGACATTCCCCGACGGTTCATGACGCGCGTCACATTTTCGAGGTAACCGAGCCATTCCCGCGACTTTCCTGGAACTCACCACCATCTGACTGCAAACAGCTGCGTAGTGCGCGCAGCAATTCTCGCGCGTTTGATGCGAGGGCGCGACTGCCAGTTGCCCAGCGCGGTGGGGCGAGCAGAGTGAGGCCGCGACGTTTCTGTCGCGCGGAACAGCGCGCGCTCGGCAACGTCGCGGCGCGTTGTTCAGACCGCGATGCTACCGCAATGGCATAAGCGTCGCGCGTCGCGCCTCTGGCAACCCTGATGCAGATCGCCAGAACTTGCGAGCGACCCCATCACTTAGTACGCCGTTGCCTTGCGACTCCAGGCGGGGGGGCGGGGGGCGGGGCAAGGTGGCCGGGGTGGGTGGGGGGCGGGGGGGGTCAGCAAGGTTTCGCGCGGGCCCGCGCGCTGCTTTTCCATTGAGGAGAATTTGCAAAATTTGGAAGCGCCGCGCAGTCGCGCTGGGCCCCGCGCGATGGGGGCCGACCTCCCTCGAGCTGCGACAGGGCCACTCGCGCTGTTCGCCAGTCGCGTTGCGCTTCTTGGGCGCGGTCCGTACCACCCCGCTTCATTTCTGCATTTCGCTTGGGGCCCATGCCGGGGGCCCCGTACTTCTGGCGCGTGGCGCCGTTGGTTGGGGTCGTTGCGTCGGGCCTCGGCGTCGCTGCCTCGGCCGCGTTGCTGCTCGACGGGCTCGGCGGCTTATTTGCGGGGGGGGGGGTCGCGCGTCGGCCGCCCGCCCGCGGCGCCCGGAAATCACGCGGGGGCGCCCGGGCGTTCCACTCGAACGCTGAGTTTCTGCGTGAGGTAGTCGCGCGTAGACTTCGCGCGACCCCGCAGGTGACCCGCCCCCGCGTCGGCAGCGCGGCATCTGGCTGGGACAAGCGAAGGGTTTCGCCCGCGTTCTGGGGCTCGGCACGAAGCGGCACGCAGTCGCGCAGCGCGTTTCCCCCGCTGCGCGCTTGCCTCGCTGGGCCCCGCGCGCGGTCGTCCGCGCGCGGGTCAGCCGAAAACTTGGCGGCCAGCATGTAATTCGGCGCCGGACTTGGCCTGTCCACGCAGTCTCCAGGGCGGCGCGTGCTGCCGCAGTTCTGTTTCACAGCGTGGTCCCACGTTGGCGCCCGGTTCGCGAGCGGCGCAGTTGGTTTGGCTTGCGCGGGGCGAGTGCAACATTGACGCGTTTTCCCTCGCGCGGCTACCGGCGCGCCGCGCGTCGCCGCGGCGCGCGCCCGTGCCGCGCGGTCTCGCGTTGGCGCCCAGAACGGGCGAGAAGTCATTTGTTGTCTGCTCGCATTGCGGCTCCAGGGCGGCGCCCGCAACTTCCGTCGTTTCGCGCTGCGCGGCCCCGCGTCGACATCCAGAGCGCGAGTTGCGCGCGAGGTGTCCGCGCGCGGCTCCCAGGGTGGCGCGCGCCATACTGGGGGCCTCGTGAGCTCGCCGACGACGACAGCAACGGCATGTTCCACGTGCATTCTGGGCGCCTGCGGGGGGGCGCGCAGTGCGCCTGCGCTCGCGCTCGCTCGGTGGCCCCTGCATCGCCTGCCGTGCGATCGCCGCCATGTTGTCGTTGACTCCAGTGGGCCCGAAGCGATTGCCGACTGCATGCGTCATTGACAGGCGATTTGCGCGCGTCCGTCTGTTGGCGCGTCATGCCCTGCGCGCGCGATCGCATTGTGGTTCTTGCGTGGTCTGCAATCGCATTGCCGCCGTGCTGGCCCGGAATATCAAGTGGCCCCTTAGTTGTTGCCGATCTGATTGCGCACTTAATCTGCAGCCTGTACGCGGCCTCCTGCAGGTGCGCCATGCAATGCTTTTACGCGGCGCGCGCGCGGCTGGGCATTTTCAGCATTGTCCGCAATGGGATCGCCGCCACGTTGGCCTGGAAGCGAAAGTGGCCCCGCGGCAGTTGCCGTTTGGATTTCCCACTTGACAGGCGCCCCGTGCGCGTCCACTCCTTGGCGCACCACGCAATGCGCCCGCGCGCGCTCGCGAGCGCTTGCTGGATGGTTGCTGCGTCGTCCGCAATCGGATCGCCGCCTGGGCGCGAACGTGGCCCCATCGCGGTTTCCGATTGGATCTCCCCGTGCGCTCGCGGCCTGTGCGCGTCTTGCTACCAGTGCGCCACGCAGCGCGCCTGCGCGCGCGCTCGCTCGGTGGTCTCTGTATATTGTCCGCGCTACGATCGCTGTCGCGCTGGCCTGGGAACTCAAGTGTCTCGCCGGCGGCTCGTCGACTGGAGTTCCCATTCTGCATGCGGCTTGTGCGTGTCCGTCTGTTGGCGCGCCGCACAGTGCGCCTTCGCGCGCGTTCGCTGCGCGGTTCGCGCATGGCCCGCATGTGCATCGCCGTCAGGTTGGTGTGTCAAGTAATGTGGTCTCTCAGCTTTTGCTGGTTGGATTTCCAATGCGCACGCGGCCTACGCCCTCTCCGCTGAGCGCGCGCCATGCAATGCGCCCGCGCGCGCGCTGCCGCAGTGCATCTTGCGCTGTCCGCAATGGGACCGCCGCCATGTTGTTGCGGCTGCTCACGTGGCCCCTTAGCTTTTTCCGCTTGGGGCGTCCACTTCCCATGCGGCCTGCGCGCGTCCGCCTGCGGGCGCGCCATGCAGCCTGCCCGCGCGCGCCGCGCGCGCGTTCGCGCGCCCGCAGGCGGCGTCGATCTTGCCCGCAGTCGGATTGTCGCCATGTCGGCCTGCAAACTCAAGTTGCCCTCAGCGGTGGCGACTGGATTTCTCATTGAACATGCGGCCTGTGCGCGTCCGCCTGCGCGCGCGCCATGCAATGCGCCGCGCGCGCGGGCGCTCGCTTGGTCTCTGCATCGTCCGCGATCGGATCGCCGCCATGTTGGCGCACAAACTCAAGTGGCCCCGTGGCGGTTGCCGATTGGATTACCCGTTTGACATGCGGCCCGCGCGCGCCCGTTT